TTAAGTAGAGGTGGGGTCAAAAATTAGGTTTTTTTGAAAGGGGTTCATTTATCCAATTTGAACTATTGGTGGGGTCAAAAACCCCAATTTCCCCTTTAGGCACTAAGAACACATAAGACACCGCAACTGTAGGCGAGCTGCGTCAAGATTAAGAAGGCAGCATTGTAAAAGCTGACCCACAGTATCGCGACGCTATGACTCTCCAACTCTGTTCAGATTTCGATTTTTCGAGTAATTTCTTGAATTAGCTTTAGAAGTTCTTATAAATATGTGGTTTGGGACTAATATTCAACGTACATAATTCAAACAGAAGAGACTTGAGTGGTTGTAGGCAGTGTGTGAAAAGGAGTCCGTATCTTGTGGGTTTAGTGAGAGTATTTGCAATTTTGTAATCCTACGTAACCATTTTTAAGGTATTTAGAAACAAGATAGTAATTRTAGGTGATATATTGAGTATGCGATCTCCATTATAATATTCCTTAAAATAATAAAACTTGCTTTTTGCAGAGACTAAAGACATAGTCTCAAGATTGGGACGAATCAGTATAATCCATGTGGTATTAAATTTTTTTATATCCTTATTTTTTGTTGTTACTTATTTATCCCTCTTTTAACCCGTGGAAGGGAAAAATCAAAGAGGTTGAACTATCTATTGATCTATATTTTTTTCCAACATAAAAATTTAAACTTGAAGGGTCGGGACAAAGAAGTTAAGTCTTTAGTGGGTTGCACTTATATTTTTAAAACGTGGGTCCGTGGAAGGTAGAAGAATAAACCATAAAAGGATTGACTGACTAAGGAAAGAAATAGTGATTACTAGATTGTTCATGTTTAATTTCTTTATTTGTCGATTCATCTTCTTCATAATTCACGTAATTCTAAATAGTTTTTAAGAAAAATACTCTTTACCAACATGAGTTTAACTTAACGGCCATTGACACTTGTTTCTGATTAAGAGATCATGTGTTCGAATCCATTTACTCCTATTTGTGGTACTAAAAAATGCTCTTTCAAATCCTCTCTGGGTCATCCAAACCACTGCCTCATCTTGCAGCATAATATGGCAGGAAATCCAAACCACGCATCATCTTGGCCATTCAAATCCTCTCTTTTAACTATTTCTCTCAATTGGAGCGCTTTCCGTATCTTTTACAAATAAAAAAAATAAAAAATAAATAATTAAGTTGAAACTTTAGAAAAAAGGAGGGACAAAATTAAAAAACACAGCACAAACATAATGGACAAAATTGTTATAAGTTTTGGTTTTCTATACCAAATATATATGATCCAAAAAGTTTTTTTTCTTTTTCTAATATTATATTTAACCGTTAAACTATTGTCATAATTAATAGTTTTCCCTATTTCTATACATTTGAAGATACATATGATTGCGTTGATGAAAGTTGTTGTAGTCTTGCCAAAATTAGCATTGTGGAATGAATAGCATTGTAGCTGACGCTACTTTAATGGCAAACATGGTGATTATTTAAGCCATAAATCTCCATTAGTGAGAGCAATAATATTTCACCATTTTTAGTGACATTTTCTAATCAAATATGCATTTATGAGCTAGCCATTTTAGATGCTAGGTCTAGAGAGCTAAATATTATCGATTTCAAGTTAATGTAATACTAGATAGGGAAAAAGAAAAAAAAATAGAAAAAAAACTAAGTCAAGCTATCCTTGTTTGTGTTAAATGATTCATATTTTGGGAATTGATAAATTTGTACCAAAGAGAAATTATCTAGGTTTTGATAAGTTGTTTAAGCTTGTTTGATAATTATTTTGTTTTCAATTTTCTATTATTAAGTATTGTATACTATCATAAATTGAAGTTAATTTTTGAAAACTAAAAAAATATATATGGTTTTATAAATCTTTTAAAATTTTGCTAAGAATTAAAAATGTGAAAACATACTTATAAGAAATTGGTCACGAGACAAGCATAAATTTTTAAAATAAAAAACTAAAAAATAATGGTCACTAAACGAGGCTTTAATTTATTTTTTGTTTGGTTTAGATGCTACACCATTTTTTATAATTTTTATTTTCATAAATGAACTAGAAATATTCATTATGTATTTTATAAGTCAATAATAATAAAACAATTATTTTATTTATATTTTGAATTGAAAATGTGGATTAGAAACAAGAAATTTGATTTTTTTTTAAAATTTTTACACAATTTAAGAAATATAACGACGGTAATAGTTATGATAAATGCCTGTATTTTTTAAAACTAAAAAAAGATAAATAAAAACGTTATCAAATGGGTCGGAAAAGTCTGCAACTAAATGTTCACCTACTCGCAGCCCCTCCCAAAAAATAAGTCAAACATTAATTGAAAGCAAAAATTATGTAGAGTGCAAATGAAGAGTAAATAGGTGCATATATATCTGATTAATGCAACAGTATTCTGTCTATGCTAAAGTGGACTTTGATTGCTCCAATTCTCCAATCAAGAAGACAAATTCCTTCAACTTCATCATTCTAGACACTATTATCCTATGAATTATGGACAACCCACTGAACTATTACGATACTTGAGTAATGTTTCCGTTTTTTGTTTTAATTGTTTAGATGCATAAGTGTTGGGTATAATTGTTATTGCTTCTCGTTTTTCATTTATAAACATTTCTAAAATTGTGTTGAAATTTTACAAATTTTACAAATCTATATATATTTTTATAAAAAACAAGAGACCAGAAACAAATGGAGTTGTAGNAAAAAACAAAAAACAAGAAAATAAAAACATTACCAAACCGGCACAATACTAAGGGTCAATTTGATAATGTTCCAGTTTCTTGTTTCTCGTTTCAATTTTATTAAGAAAACCTAAAAATTTGACAACTATTCATCTTTTTTTTTCTCATCTTTTTTTATAATTAAATAGCCTAAAAATTGTATAGAAAACTTTTAAAACAACAAAAACAAGTTTTTTGTTTTTTGTTTCCGTACTCATTCCCGTTCCCCATTTGTCCCAAAACATAACAAAAAACATTACTTTATCATTCTTGAATCTATGGGGTGTGGCAAGGTTGGTCAATAATAAATTCCCTTTACTGGAACCTCTTTCAGATCCGTCTTTGAAGATCTTGGAAATCCTAATATATTGGTGACTTTCTCACAAGGAATGGGCTTACGCCTGGAAGAATGAATTCCCTTATTGCGCCTAAACGAGTTTCACGGATAAATCCATTATTTAAAGAGAAGTTGTTCATCACTGGACCAATGAGCCTGGTGGGTATAGTAGTGGCAATGGACATCAAAAGGCAATGAACATTGTTTATGGAGAAGAAATAGGTAGAAAGCACAACTCTATTTTTCTTTATTAAAAGAAACAGGAATGTCAGCAAAAACGGGCCTTAAATTTTCTCTTTATATACTCCATTTGCCTTCAAGTCTTCAACCATACAACTCCAAACCTTCTTGAGAATTGAGTCCCAAGTAAATCCTTATTCATGTAAGACTACTTTGGAAAAAAATACAAAACTTCTAATAGTTATGTGATGAGACAATCCTTTTTCAATGATCTAACAAGTTCCTTTCTTTCTGATTTGCAGTAGGAAAAAAGAGCAGAATGGTGATGAACACGAAAGCTTGTGCAGCCATATTATTGGTGGTGTTGTTCACAAGCTGTTGCTTGGTTATGCTCAGTGATGGAAAACGGGCGCTACTGATCAAACTGCAGGATGAACACCAAGAGCAACAAAAACTTGTTGAAGAGAATAATAGAAACGAAGCCAAAGGCAGCAGATTTGCAGATAATAATAACCATCATGATTGTGATAGGCATGATTATTACTGTTGGAACAAGTATGGACTGCAACATGGGAACAATAACTAAATCATTACATCAAATGTTGAGTTCAAATTAAAGGTATGATGTTGTGGTTAAATTTGTGTATAAATAAGTTATGATCCTATGCCTTGTCGTGTAAGATATGTGTTAGCAATATATGGATGAATATTGTATTGTAATATAAGAGTGGGAGTTTATTACTGTAATGGTTGAACCACGATGTAACTAACCCTACGCATTTGTATAGATGATCTTGAATTTTCTAAATGATAGTACTTTTCGGGCTTGTTTGGTTACATTACCCTTTTTTTGTTTCTCTGTTTCAAGTTTTTTTAAGAAATCTAAGCGTTTCACAATGTCATATTAATGTTTATTGTTTTCTCAGTTTTTTAAAACATTCTCAAAATTTTATAGAATTTTGAAAACAACAAAAAATGAGCTTCTTGTTTATTGTTCATGTTTCCATTTTGTTCCAAAACATAAGTAAAAATTATTTGTTTTATCRTTTTTGAACCTATGGGTGTTTGGAGCATGTAATTCTATTTCATTTTATTAGAAAAAAAAAGACAGAAAGAAGAAACGACAACGTTACCTAATGAATCTTTCATAATTGAGTCGTTTTCAAAAGTTATTATTTTCTTATTTGAGTTAATTGTAATTAATCTCTTACAAAGAGTAAGAAGGCTTTTCTCATGATCATTAATTGTTAGATAAATTAAAGCTTATAGAGAATTTGTAGATAATTGTTACTATGCAATTATTCAATTAGTAAATTAATCTAAACTAATTAAATTACTATGAACTTTTCAAGTTTACTCTTGTGTACTTAGTTTAGTGAGTAAATTTAAAATTTAAACATAAAAGCAAATCCAATAAATCATACAAAATTCAACTAACAAAACACTCAAAATCAAGCAACCTAGCTAAATATTTGAACCTGCCACAAATTTAAATACGTAAGAACTACTTAAACTCAATAATATACAAATTCATAATTCAATTAGACGAAACCAAAAGTTTTAAGATTAAAATTCACTCGTCGAGTCAAATACATGAACAAAAAGTTACATTATTTGCCCTAAATAATTAACCACATTATTGAGATATTGACATTGTGATCTCTTACACAAAATTTCACAAACTCCCAACAGAAATTCTCGTGAATGCCAAACAAATCCTATTCTTAAGCCTAATTTTCTAACCACAACCCAATAGAAGAATCCGCCAGAGCTTCCACCTATTCACTTTCAAGCTCTCTAACGTCTCTTCCACTATAAATAGCTTCAACAAACCAAAGCCTTAAACCACAATTCAGCTCATCTCATCAGAAAAATATCACTTCAAACTTTAAACTTAATCACAGAATTAAGATTAATAATAATGGCGAGCAGCTTAGCCTCAGCAGCAACTATATCGAAGCTTAATCGTGCTGGATCTGTTCTTGTGCGCAGCCCATGGAGCTCTAGGGTTTTTGTCTCTGTCAGACCAAGACATGTTTGTTTCTTATCTTTATCACATGTTTTTATGATTCTGAGGTTTAACTTTTGAAAAGGGTTTCAAAAAATAAGGTAGTCTTTTGTTACCTTGAAGATTCGGTTTTTTGTCAAACTCAAATTTGTTTATGGATAGCCGAGGTTGTTCATGAGTTCGGTTGGGTTGAAGTACTTTAAACCTAAACTCATTTGATTGGAGTTTATTAAATAATGAACTCAGTCCAACCCAACCGTAAAAAATATTTTGATTGAGTTTGGGCTGTTTTGCTCGTCACCAATAAAAAAAAAAAGTTTTAAGATTAGTAATAAATTTGGGTCGATTCGATTGAAGTCAAATTTATTTTTATTTTTGGTAACCCTATTGATCCAAACCAACTGAATTTATAGAGTTTTGATTTATTTAAATCTAAACAAATCTATAACCCAATCCAAGTAGTATGTTTGAACTGAAATTGACATAATCTAGCCATAACACTATAATTTCTACCCATTTAAATTTGAATTTTCCATCTTGTATTGCTTTTTTTCTTCTTTTTTAACTCATTAACTTAACTGTTGGATGATGGTTTAGTTACTATAATATGCCTTTCATTTAAGTTCTCTCTGCTCATTCCTATCATATATCAATTTGATTTTAGAAAAAAGGAAAACAAATCTTAATTTTGTAAAATAAATAATAATAAGTTTGATATAATATTACTGTGAATGGAAATAGGCAAGTTCTTCACAGTTTGCTGCAGCAGCAGCAGCTGATGGAGCGGCTCAGGGTGTGAAGCGAGCCACAGAGAAGGCTGCCGAAGAAGTCAAAGATAAGGCTTCCTCTGCCGCCGAAGAGGTTCTTTCAAAACTATTTCATCATTAAACTTTCTACTCTAAAGATTCCTATTCAAAGATCAGCCTTTTGTCAATGTGTTTTGATATAGAGAAAAATGGGATGATGCAGGTGACTCAGAAAACAAAGGAAGTTGCAGGGAAAGTGAGTGAAACAGCACAGGATTTGGCTGGGAAGGCAAAGCAAACAGTTCAAGAAGCATGGGGATCTGTGAAGGATACAACTCAGAACATCAAAGAGAAGGTTGTTGGCAAAGCTGAGGAATCCAAAGAAGCCATTAAAGACACTGCAGACAACATCAAAGACAAAATCAAGTCAAACTGTTGAGATCTTCAATGCTTTTTCATCATATTGTTTCACTCCCCATTTCATAGGAAATGGCAATTTTCCTTCTTGGGTTATGGTTTTTTTAACGACTTTTGAGAATTCTTCAGCAATTAGTCCATTGGTACTTGAAATAAAATGTAAGCCTTTTTCGTTTTCTCGAGATTTTTTCTTTTCTTTCTCTAATTTATAACAAGCGCAAACGATATTCTGTCATTATAATTAACAAATACGTAATTTCAAAATGAAGCAAACGATATTCTGTCATTATAATTTACAAGTACGTAATTCCAAAATAAAGCGACTTGAGGCGCACGATCCACAAAACCAAGGGAGATTAATGCTTCAAGCAATTTTTTGCAAGATCCAAGGTCGAGCTTCCATGATAAGTTTACAAGCTTCTCTTCTCAAGTTTTTCTTTCAAGATGTGTGGAGCTACAACAAATAGCTCATTTGTAAGGTATGAGAGTGCAAAGAGGAAGGGTTGAGAGAGTATTATACTTTTCTATTATGATTTCGATAAATATATAAGGTTGACCCAAGTAAAGAATATAAAAGGATGATAAAAGGAAAAAAATAATCCTATGGTAAAACTGGTTTTTTTTTTTTGAAAGAAGAACAATTTCATTAAAGTATGTGAGAAACCTACACAAAAAATAGGAGGCTAGATGAAAGCGCTCCAATTTAACAAAATGGTAGATATGTCATAGTTACAAAAATGAGAAGATTTTATGGGCCAAGAAGAAGCAAGAACTTTAATATCTTCCTAGAGGATAGTAAATGTAGAGGCGCAATCTATGAACGTTCGATTGTTTCTCCCTAGCCAAACAGACCAGAGGATGGAGCCAACAACATTTTGTCATAGGATGAATCTGCTACTGCTAGAGTGAGATGAATAAACTTCCAAAAGAAAATGCTCAAGCCGATCAAGGAGGGTAGAAGAAGAGATATTGAACGTGTTATACCGCAGGGTAAAATTGGTTCGTTCAAGAGTTTAATTAAATAATTTTGTGCATTGAAACTCAACGTTGTAAATCTATATATCATGGATCAGTCTCTTGTGCCTAAAACAAACAATATCATACCATTGTGGAGATAGTTGAGGTATTGGGTAAAAAACCTAGCCACGTGGGAAAAATAAAAAATCTACTGATTTAGACTTTTAAACTAAATTTATTAATTAGAAATTAAAATAAGACAGGTAATAAGTAATTTACTTTAAAATTCAATGAAATTCTTCAAATCTAACCATTTTGATCCGATTCCTTTCAAGTAAAATGACTGTTTGCTTTAGTTACCTCAAAATAATGCTAAATAGATTATTAATCTTCTTTAAATTGTGGAGATACTTGGGTAGTAGGAACGGTTTTTTCTTAACATTTTTGTTCATCGAAGTTGACATATAATTTTTTTTGTAAATTAATTAGAATGCATCTATAAGCATTATTTTTGTTTCCAACACTTCCTCGGAAATTATTTGAAATTAATGTTAAAAAAAAGGACTCCCAGGCGACCGTTTGTTTTTTGAGAATGTAGATGTCTGGAATCTTCACCTGGAATCTCATATGTCCGGAATTTTAGATGTCTGTAATTTCAAATAACCACGTTTTTTTGTAGGAAAATTTATAAGGATATCTGGGAATATTTTGATATTTTGCAGGATTTATTTGTGGGAATATTGTAAATTTATGTAATGTTCTAAAAATACCTTTACCGGTCATCATATAATTTATATGTTAAATTTAATATTATTTGAATTCATATAAAAATTGTAATTTTATTAATTTAATATTATATTTTTATGTTAATTTTAGTTTATGTTTGGTGACTATTGGAGAGTAAAATAAACGAAAGATTGCACCCTACATTTGAATTAAAAACAAATTAAGATATTATACGAGCATGGAATAATGCTTATTTTATATCTAAATGTAGCATATAAATAAAATTATATTTAGACATTTATCAATGAATTAGTGCATACATTTATTTTTAAAATAAAATAAAATAAATATTATTGATGAAAAAATATTATAGAACAAAAACGATGAGGGTTAAAAAGAAGATGCCCTCAACACGAGAATCTTAGAAACCCATGTTAGAGGGGCATCTAAAATTGCTCAGATGCCTCCCGTATAGGCATCCTAGGATGCCCAGATATCTAAGAATACCCGGGTATCCAACATTCCTATCAAACAAACACGGGCATCTGGATGACCATCCCATGAAAATCTGAGATTCCCATAAAACAAACAAACTGTGCCTAAGGGAAAGATAGCGAGCCCAAGAGCAATTTCTTTTCAATTATTAGACATGCTTTCGAGAGGACTGATAAATTTCACTTCAAAATATTAGGTTTTATGTTTCCACCTTTAACCACATATTTAGTCAAAATTATTTAAATCAAAGTTGTTCATATAGATGTTTTAATGCATGCTTAAGAATATGTACCCAAAAAACAGAAAATAACTACTAAAGTTGATCTTGATTCATAAATAAAGTAATCCCTCTTTTGTTGCTCCTTACAACGTAATTATGTGTAAAACTTGGTTAGACATTGGATGAAGTTACTAAATGTGGTGTGTTTAGGTTAGCAAACGTGAACACAAAAAACATAATTTTGTTTTACCAATTGTCTTCTTTCACCATATTTAATCCCCACTCTTCATTGAAAAACATCATTCTTCCAACACCAAAAACCTCTAAAACATAGCTTCAACATTATTGATCTCGTATTTCTGCGATTTCCCTCCTCATCAATGGCTCTTTCACAACGTCCTCTATATTTCTTCATATTCTTTTTGCTCGTCGTCTCTTATCCTCGTACAATCATCGCAACTTCGAGAACCATGTTCATTAAAGAAGGTTCTATTGAGACAATTTCAATAAGAACTGAAAACTTCATGACTGTTGATCTTCCTGGCATGATGGGTGCAAAACTAATGGCCATTGGGGGCATTCTCAACTGCACGCCACCAAGAAACCATGAGTCTTTTTCTTTTTCTTCATGCAATAATATGTACCACAAACTTAGAAATATTTTATTATTAATTAGTTACAAAAGGAGAAGTTTGTGAGGGAAAGAAATATATAAATGGGAGATTGTTCTTGAACACTTTATAGTGAAACAAATTTACGATTGTCATCATACCCCTAAGATATTTGATTTAGATTGTGGTGTTGTTAAAAAATGAGTGAGTTCTATTAAAGTGATTTTTGTTATTTTCTAAACTTTTTTCCTTTTTTTTTTGGAGAGACGGGAGATCAAACTGATCACAACTTCTTTGTTTGAGATATATGTCAATTATCGGTGAGTTATGCTCTCTTTAGCTGTTACTATCTAAACTTGTAGGAACAAAGAATGTTCGAAGAAAAATTTATATAAGACTCTAATGAAGTGACATGGTGTTAGAAAACGGAGTGGACTATATTTGCGTTTCCAGTTGTTATTATAGAATTATATTTATCGATGAATGTGACTAGTCTCGTGCCAAATGAAATAACAACAGTAGGTCTAATTAATGTTTTCATTAAAAAAAAAGATGGAGGGTCGTCTAATTTTTACAATTAAAAATTTTAAGGGTGCAATTGCAACCATCACTACAATTTAGGGTGGTTTTTGTAATTTGCACAAATTATACAATATAATGAGTATTTTAATCATCTTTCTAGTTTTCTGCTCCCTAATTATTTTAAATAGAAGGGTTACATATGTTAAGAAACATCATAATTTAAGAGCTCCTCCATCGATAACAAAACTTCTGGCTCTGCCATTAACTCTAATTTATAAAACTTAGCTTGAAAGAATGGCTTGGAGGAATAGAATGGAAAGAAAGATGAAACAGATGATGTATTATTCTTAGTTTTTGTGAAAAAATATTTTACCAGTTAAATCCAAGATAGACACATGAAAGACTACCATTGAACTTAACTAAAGTAAGAAAGGAAAAATAAAATATGTAAGGAGAAGGTAGCGTTAATAAGAAATGAATAAAGGCCAACAATTATGGGATATCGCTGAGTAAATGAGTTGTCGTAGATTGCTGAAAATCTTCACCAAATAAGGAAGGAGAATATGTTGATCATAGAATGATGCCAATCAAGGACCTGTAGAGCTGCTATTTTGAAATATCACTCGCTGAGATGTTAATATATTCTGGTGGTGTGTTATTATGTTGTATTTTACTGGTGTGTTATTTTGTTGTTTATCATCGTCTCTCAAACTCAAGGTAGTAGTTGAACGAACGCCGAGTTTGCTCCTTAAGTCTTTAAAAACAGCTTTAGCGAGGGGTTTCGTGAGGATGTCAGCTATTTGTTGTTTGGATGAAATGAACTTGGTGATGAGAGAGCCGAGAGCAACCTTCTCGCGAACAAAATGATAATCCATCTCAATGTGTTTGGTCCTAGCGCGGAACACGTTGTTTACTGACATGTAGAGAGCACTCATGTTGTCACAATATAGTTGAGATGTTTTAAGTATTGCGATGCCAATGCCGCGAAGGATGAAGCCAATCCATGTCAGTTCGGCAGTTGCACTTGCCATTGCTCGATATTCTGATTCAGAACTTGAACGAGCGATGGTCGATTGTTTCTTGAAAAACCATGAGATGCAGTTTGAACCAAGAAATATACAATAGCCAGTAGTACTCCGTCTTGTTAGAGGACAACCTCCCTAATCTGCATCACAAAAACCATATAAGTTAGTTGTGCTATGTTTATAAAAGGTAAAACCATGATCTACCGTTCCTTGAATGTATCGTAGGATTCGCTTCACAACTTTGAGGTCTGCTATGGTGGGATTTTGGAGTCATTGGCACAATTTATTCATAGCTTGTACGATGTAAGGACGAGTGAGAGTGAGGTATTGAAGAGATCCTACTAAGCTTCTACAGTGTTTGACATCTGTGGGTTGCTCATCATTGGGCAGGGCTTGTGTTGATACAGCCATTGGTGTGCATATGGAGGATGCACAAAGCATCTTGGAGTTGTAAAGAAGGTCACGACATATCTTCCTTGGCATAATGTGATTCCTTTATGAGTAAGCTTGACTTTAATTCCAAGGAAGTAATGTAGGGCTCCAAGATATCTTTTAATGCAAACTCACCGCTTAGTGTTTGTATTAACGGTTGAAAGTGAGAAATATCATTCCCTGTAAGAATAATG